GACAGTCTTTACAGTAATATGCAACCTAGGGAGGTAGTGTAGCACTATGGAGACTGGATAAGGGAACGATGTTACCGGTATGCACGGACTGCAGGAGACTGGAAACGGGCCAGTCGGGGCACGCACAGCCAAAGTGAAACAGAAGAGCTCAAACACAATATGTTAGGTTCAATGGTCAGCCCAATAAAATATCATCCAAACCAAAAGGAAACAAACCAAACCCAAACCGGGTTACAATCCGACTCAAAACACAAGAAAGAAAATCAAACCGTGGTGGGGTTGCCTCCCCACAAGCGCTTCTTTACCGTCTTTTAGCTGGACGCCCATGGTGGATTCTTAGGGCGGTGCAGTAACAGGTGCCTCCAAGAGCGGATCCACTTCGCTCTTGAGGTTGTGGCCATGCAGGCGAGCGAGTACCCAGACGGCCAGGGTGGTCGTGGTGCAGGGGGTGGGACCAGCTCATAGTGGTCTCCACTCTTCTTCCGTGCAGGCTTAGCAACCTGCGGCTTCGGCCGCCACTCCTCCTTGAGCTTTTTGTTCGGAGGCGAGGCTGGATGGAGTGGCGGCGAAGGAGTGATAGGAGGGTCCTGCAAAATAGGAGGTGCAGAAGGGTACACGACAGACTCGTGTACCTGATCAGAAATGGCATTCACAGGCGTGACAGCAATCATAGCACAGTGATCAAACTCAGTCACAGAAAAAGTAGTCTGTTCATTCCCAGCATGCAAGATCAACTTACCATCATGCACATCAATTAGTGCCTTGGCGGTGGCAAGAAATGGCCTACCTAGAATCAACGGCACATCCACATCCTCATGTATATCAAGAATAACAAAATCAACAGGATATGTGAATGCACCAACACCAACAAGCAGATCCTCTATGATTCCCCTAGGATGCACAATAGAACGATCAGCTAATTGAATGCTCATCCTAGTAGGGCTAAGTTCACCTAGGTCTAGCATTTTATACAACTTATATGGCATGACGTTAATGCTAGCACCTAGGTCCGCCAAGGACTTTCCTACATGCATGCTGCCAATAGTAAGAGGGATAGTAAAACTCCCTGGATCCTTGCGCTTCTCGGGCAGCTTGTTCTGCAGGATAGCAGAACACTCCTCGCTCAGCATCACTGTCGAGAGATCCCCAAGTTTCTTCTTGTTGGTGCAGATATCTTTCATGAACTTGGCATACTTGGGCATCTTCGACAGTGCCTCCATGAATGGTATGCAGATGTTGAGCTGCTTCAACATTGCCATGAACTTGGCAAACTCAGTCTCCAGCTTGTCTTTGTGTAGGCGAGTGGGAAAGGGAAGCTGGGGCACATGCTCCTTAACCACTGGTTGTGGCTTGGGAGCAGGGGCTTCCTTCTCCACCCGCACTTCTGCATCGTCGGCTGGAAGTGCTGAAGCAGTCAGTGGTACCTCCTGTCTGGCCGGGACAGAATCAGCAGATATGGTTTTACCGCTCCTGGTAAAAATGGCATCCAGCTGCTGATGCTGGTGAGGATCTCGAGGATTCGGGACAGTGGTGGCAGGCAAAGTCCCCGGTGCCCTGGTGGTGGTCTGGCGGGCCAAGATGCACACCTGGGTTTGCAGATCCTGCAAAATGGCACCCTGGTTCCTCTGACCTGCCTCCAGTGAGGCTACACTCTGGTCCAACCTCGTGATAGTCGCCTGAGTGCTCGTCATGAATGAAGCTAGAATGTTTTCCAGCTTCGTCATCCTGTCATCTGGGGCTGGAGCTGCTGCTGGCTCGGCAAACTTGCGCTGGGGCTGCTGGAATGGCTGCCCCTGCCTAGGCTGGTAGGGCTGCTGCTGTGGGTCTGGCCCCTGGCGAGCCTGGCCCCTGGGTCTGGCCCACTGCTGAAAACCACCTGCTGGTGCTGGGAAACCAGGTGGTTTAGTGGTGTTGCTGCTCCAGGCGAAGTTGGGATGCTGGCGCCACCCCTCATTATATGTGCTACTGTATGGATCGAGGCGCCTCGCATTGGCGATGAAGGCCAACTGCTCCTGGGGTGTGGTAGACTCCCTCATAGCCTGGCAGTCCTCCACTAGGTGATTGGAGCTCTCACACCACTGACACTAAGCAACTGGAGGTGTAGCCAAACCTCTGCCCGGAATAAGACTGTTGGGCTGCTTCAATGTCTGCACTAGCTCAGCTACCTGCTGCTCGAGCCCGGATCTGGTCTCCATGGCGTGCACACCACGGTCCCGGGACTGTCTGCCTCTGCTGCTCTGCCCCCAGGAATGATCTCTGGCAGCCATTGTATTAATCATCTGGTTCAGCTCGGGTGGAGTCTTAGTGAGGATATCCCCTCCTGGGCATAGAGACTCAATCACCCTCTGGCTATCTGGAGAGAGGGCACTGTAGAAGTTCCCCACTGTGAATGCATCGCTGAAGCCATGATGGGGGCATTGCCAGAAATAGCCCATGTACCGCTCCCACGCATCACGAAGTGACTCATCTGGCTCTTGGCGGAAGTGAGTGATCTCCCGCTGGATCTCTGTAGTCTTCGATGCCGGATAATACCTGTGCACGAACTTGTCCGCCAGATCGTCCCAAGAGGTGATGGACAATGGGGGCTGGGTCTCCAACCACCTCTTAGCATTCCCCGCCAGAGAATGGGGAAAAAGATGAAGGCGGATTGCATCATCCGGGACACCATTCAGCTTGAACCCGTTCGTCAGCTGCAGAAAACGGGAAAGATGTACCCTGGCCTCCTCATCTTTCAAGCCATGAAACTGGATAGAGGATGTGATGAGCTGAATCCAGCATGGCTTGATCTCGAAGTTATTTGCTGGAATAGGCGGGTAGAGGATGACCGGGCGGATGTCAGCAATCCGCGGAGTGTAGTAGTACTCCAAGGTGGGACCCGGCTGCGGTGGATGATGAACTCCATGATCCCGGGGTATGGGGTTGTTCCCCAGGACCTGATTCACCGGGGGAACCTGCTGCGGATTCCCCTGGTGCGGATTGTAGTCTCCGTCCATCCCGTGCTCTTCTTCAGAATCGCTACTAAAGTGGCCGTCTATGCGCTCTTCCGTAGCCAGTCTAGCTCGCTGTTGTCTCCTAAGCTGGCGACAGGTGCGGTCAATCTCTGGATTCAACGGCAGTAAACCTCCTGACTGGCTACGGGTCATGCACTACCTACACACACTCAAGCAAGCAAACCCGTGAAGGCACAAGTGGGACAAAGCAAACAAAACAAAAAGAAAAGCTAAATTAACAGAAATCACTTTTCTTCAACAACCTAGCCGTCCCCGGCAACGGCGCCAAAAACTTGACTCGACTCTACTGTCACCCTAGGAATTGGCCAAGTGAAACCACTTCCTAAAGCGTAGTATAGCGGGTTTAGGTTTAATTATCAACCCGGGTCCTAGATCTGATGACTACTCAGTGAATTCTTGTTATCTAGCAACGAAACTGGAATGCAAGTCTAACTAACAAACTAACAAAGCAAGTAAACTGGTTGTATTCAAGTTAAGAGAGGTCACCCGGATATGGTTCCCCCTAGACTGCAGTTAAGCCGGATTGTAATTACCAAGTTCAGTTTCTATGAAGATTATACTGCGGAAGGTTCTTAAACAGCCTGAAGTCTCGACTAAAGGTCTTCAGACCCTCTCAATCTGACTCTCTAGCGGGCGACTAACCTCCACCGGAGTCGACAGATTGAGGCCCTAAGAACAAAACCTCCACTACCGGAGCCAATCTGGTACAGAATAGTGAGTTGGCTCCTCGACTAAAGTCACCAACTCCCTACCTTCAATCAAGGATACTCTATTAACCTAGGCAGATATTCTCATTCTAGGTTAAAGCAGAAACAACAGGAATTAGATCAGGATTCAAGTCATTCAATCATTAAAACCTCAATCGAATATAATCAATCATAGAATCAGTACTTGGGTTCATACAATCAAAGCCTAACATACAAATCTAGGGTTCTCCATACCCAGATGAATGGGAGAACTACTCCATGGAGAAGAAAGCAAAAGCAGAAACAGACACGGAATTCATACTGCGAAGGACGGATTCTGGCTCCTGGACGTTGATCGGCACTTCGCCAAGCTCAAACTGGCCTCCAATGGTGTTGAAGATCAATCTAGGGCACTTGGGAACTCTTGCTCGTCACTTTCTCTCTCTAGGAACTGATCTCTCTCTCAAAAACTCGAATCCCCTTGAATTGTGGCTGAAACTCTGCTTAAAAGCATCAGTGGCCAAAGCACGGTCAAGGGCACGGCCGTGCTTTGCCTGACTCCGCCCGTGCCTCGGCCAGGGCTTAATTACACGGCCAGCAAGTGGGTTAAACACGGCCGTGCTTCGCAATGTACACGGCCGTGTTTTGACTGAACACGGCCGTGCTTTGGTGCCCGTGTTTGCAGCTGAATTGGCCAAACTGAATTTGCTCTCGGCATAAAAAGCACGGCCAGCAGTACACGGCCGTGTAATGCCTTAGGCTGCCCGTGTTTTGGCTCCAGCTCACCGAAATGACTTCCGAATGCCCCGAAACTCGTGGTTAGCCTTCCCTTTGACGCCTGGGACCTGAAACATGACAAAATAGCACAACCCGGCGTAAAATAGGCCAAAACACACGACTATGCCCCTCAAACGGATAAGAACTAGGGCCGCAAACATGTGCAATTACATCGTTATCAACGGCACGAGCACTTCGCTTTCAAGCTAGTTTGCCCATTCGATTTTGGGGCGAGTGCATACTCACGGCAGTCTACCTCATAAATCGACTCCCAACTCGTGCAACAGGCAAGGCACCATTTGAAATGCTTTTTGAGAAGAAAGCTACCTACGATCACTTACGGGTTTTTGGCTGTTTGGTTTACTACAAGGATACCTGAGCTCACCTCGACAAATTTGCTGAACGGGGGAGGGCTGGTCTTTTCCTGGGCTATGCGATTAGCCAAAAGGGCTACCGCATTTATGACCTCGCCACCCATTGCTTGGTCACGTCTCGCGATGTCAGTTTTCACGAGACCTTCTTTCCCATGCAAGAAGAAACTCGGCGGACATTGCATTGGATACCACGTCCACTTCCTACTTCCCCAGCAGTTGAAAATAATGAGGACACACCTCTGGTTGTACCATTTTCTACCGAAGATATTGATCCAGCCTCGGTGGCCACGTCTGGTGGTGCGACGCCCTCGGCTGGTGTTAATCCAGCCTCCTCGATCGAGCACGGTTCATCCTCGTCCCCTGCCCGACGGACAGAGCCAACGCCGATGTCCTTGATCGAGTTAACTTCCCCTTCGTCTCCCGATCACTTAATGGAGTCGGGGTCTTCACCATCATCGACTTCGTCTCCTGTGGCACAGCCTTCTCCTTCCGTGGACTCAGAAGCTCCAGCATCCACGCCTGGGTCATCTCCTCCCTAGGCCCCTCGTCGAAGTTACAGAGTGCGATTTCGCCCAAAACATTTGGCGGATTATGACACTCGATATTCAACGACTGTCGAGGGAAGTACCACTCATCATGCTCGTTACCCACTTGCAGCTTATGTTGATTACACAAATTTTAAACCCTCTTTTCGTGCTTTTCTTGCAGCACAGACTCGTCATGATGAACCGCGCACTTTTCGCCAGGCAGTAGGTGAAAAGGTTTGGCGTGATGCCATGACTCGAGAAATTCGCGCGCAAGAGGAGAATGGCACTTGGAGCCTCGTTCCCTTGCCCCCTGGCAAGCGTGTTATCATTCCCAAATGGGTTTACAAGATCAAGTTCTTACCGGATGGGACCATCGAACGCCATAAGTCGCGTATTGTTGCCAAGGGTTATACGCAAATTGAAGGTTTGGATTTTCACGACACCTTTGCACCTGTCGCGAAATTGGTCACCATTCGTTGCCTCATTGCTGTTGCGGTTAGTCGGGGGTGGCATCTCCATCAACTCGACGTTAATAATGCCTTCATTCATGGCGATCTCGATGAAGAAATTTACATGGAAATTCCTGAAGGGTTTCGCGCACCTGGTGATACCCGGGTCTGTCGTTTGCATAAGTCACTCTACGGCCTGCGACAGGCTTCGCGTCAGTGGTACCAGAAGTTCACCACTGCATTGTGTGAGCTGGGTTTTCAGTCATCTCCCGCTGATGCGGCTCTTTCTATCTACCAGCGGGGGAGTGTTTTTGTTGTGGCACTGATCTATGTGGATGATGTTCTCTTGGCTGGGACGAACTTGTCGTTCATCACGCGTGTCAAGGACTTTCTGCATCAACGATTCACCATCAAGGATCTTGGTCCCATTCGTTATTTTCTTGGCATTGAACTCACCCGTACCGCTGATGGGGTCATTCTTAGTCAACGTAAATACGCTCTTGACATCCTTGAAGATGCCGGGGTTGAGGGTTCGCGACCGAGTGATTTTCGCATCGAGCAAAATCACCAGCTTACACGCCCTGTTGATGACCGCATGTCTGATCCTTCACCGTATCGCCGACTGGTTGGGCGTCTTCTTTATCTGACTGTGACGCGGCCCGATATTACTTATGCCGTAAATATCTTGAGCCAGTTTGTTCACGCCCCTAGTCAGCTTCACATGGATGCAGCATTCCGGGTTCTTCGTTATCTGAATACTACGCCAGGTCAAGGGTTGTTTTTCCCAAAGGACAATTCTCTCCAGCTGGTTGCTTACTGCGATGCCGATTGGGGTGGCTGCCAGAATACTCGACATTCTACTACAAGGTACTTTGTCAGCCTTGGAGGTGCTCCCGTTTCTTGGCGCACAAAGAAGCAACGCGTGGTGGCTCGTTCATCTGCTGAGGCCGAATATCGAGCCATGGCAAGTACAGTTAGTGAAGTACTTTGCATGGTAACGAAATATATATTGATATTACCATTCTATACCATATGGTATTGTGTGATATTACCACACTATACCATATGGTATTGTGTGATAACGAATATATATTGATACACCACACTATACCATATGGTATTGGGTGGTAACGAAATATATATTGATATTACCACACTATACCATATGGTATTGGGTGGTAACGAAATATATATTGATATTACCACACTATACCCTATGGTAATGTATGGTATTGCGTGGTAATGATATATATATTGATATTACCAATCTATACCATATGGTATTGTGTAATATTACCACACTATACCATATGGTATTGGGTGGTAACGAAATATATATTGATATTACCACACTATACCATATGGTATTGGGTGGTAACGAAATATATATTGATATTACCATACCATGTGGTATGGTCTTATTTAATACCAGTAAATACCATATGGTATAGACTTGTAATAACTGGAAAAAAATTTTATGTCCAAAAAATATCAAAGTGGATATCATTTTGAAGAGCACAATTAATCTGATCTAACTGTGCAAATAAAATTAAATTCCGACTTAAAACGATTGAGAAATCTTCCGTTAAAGATTAAGAGAAGAAAAATTAAAGATTTTTCGAGGAGAGAGAAGGAGGCGCTGATGTGGTCCGGTCAAAAGTCAGCGTCAGCAATAAATATGAGTAAGTGCAATTTTACCTTCCTGCCCTTCCGCATTTAATTTAAACAAAAAAGGGGTCTGACACGTGGAGATCAGAGAAGGAGTTACTGATGGGTTACTGACCCATCAGTTACTCACATGATCTGCTCCCGTTAGAATTAATTGAGAAATGGCCTATGGAAAATGTGGTTGATTAATATGATGTGTTAATTAATTTATCAGTAGGAGAGATCAATCTCACTATATTTAAAGAGATATAAATTAAAAAAATTGAGAATATATAAACAACATTTTTTTCCAAATAGCCTAACCTAATTCAATATAAAAAAAAATTGTTATAAACCACCCCCAAAACAATAAAGCAACTTGGAAAGAAAAACAAATACAGACCGAACTACATAACTTCTAATCGACAATAGATAATCATACATATTCAACGTATAGGTTTTCAGAAATAGTGGTAGTGACTAGTGAGAAATAATTGATTGATGACAGCAAAGGGAACCATGAAGCCCATGTGTAGTCGTGTAGACGTGAGATTTGTTCGAGCTGCGATCTGAAGAAAGAGGCATGTGAAGTGATCGGCAAACCCTTGGAAGTTTGTGGGTTAGTACAGCAATTTGCCAAATTGTCATGTTCAGTGCTCTGGAACTGGGGCTCGTACTTGTTTTGGATGGTTTTGCTCTGATAATTCAATAATATTGTTATGCAAATTACAGTGTTGACCTAACGAAGTCTTTTTGGGAGGACAACCAAAACCCAAAAGTAAATTCGTGCGGGTTTGGTCCAAAGTAGACAATATCATACTAATTGAGCAGCCTAATTACGACAAGTGGTATCAGAATCTGGTTCGATTTGGAGCGGTGGATGTCAGTCTGGTGGACCCTCATTCGGTGACCTCGAGATTTGAGATCCACGTCTGTTTGGTGGATCAAGGAGAGATCCACATTTGGGTTTGACGGATAAAGGAAGGTCCGCGCCTAAGAAGCAGATCAAAGAGATCGAGTTCTGCGTTTAAGAAAAATTCTTGGGATTGTTATGGGACAAGTATCACACCATAAATAAAAAGAGAAGGACACCCAAAAGTAAATCCGGACACTAATTGAGCAGCCGATTACTATAAATATTTATGGATATGTTTGGACGACTTAATTAATTTCCAATTTAACAAATGGAAGTCTCATCTCTGCCCTGTTTTGTTTTGTCGAGCAAAAAAAGAATTTCGATCGGTAACTGAGAACTGAAATTGTTGCAAGTGAAGTTAAATTTTAATATTTATGTATTTTTTTATATTATTCTAAGTAATTTTATTCAATATCACCAAGGCTTTTAAGAAACATAAATAGGTTAAAGAGGTTAAAATGTTGCACTTTCTTGAATGAGGTCTCAGGTTGAAATTCATGATTTCACAAAAGATGTCCTACATTTTTATTTTTAAAAAGTGGGCGCATAGTATGATTTTGCTATTTGTTTTGAAAATTAACAGACAATTTTTTATATCGAAACAGCGATTCATAAATATTATTCTTAATTTTTTATTTATAAATTAAATTATTTTTAATTAAGATTAAAATTCATAATTCACATAAAAATGAAAATAATAATTAAAATTAATTCTTTTATAAATCGTTTTTCACTCTCGTCTCAAGTCTTTACTCCAAGCTGTGGTAAGATCTTACGTGTTTGATTGGGCCCCTGATCTTGCTAGTGGGCCCTGAAATGAACAACGCTTCCACTTCATTTCATGGGCGTTTTTGTGATAGAACGTTGCTATTAGGCTGATTTCTTGGCCTTTAAGTTTTGGGCCTGCCTTCTGCTCATGAAATAATTCTTTTCTCCAAAGCATTTTAATAATACAAAATAGGGCTGGATTTTCGGTTAGATCGGTTATAACCGATAACGAAATATCGATTACTGTTTAACCGCGACGACAGCAACCGAGGTAACCGACGTGTCGGTTACCAGTTAGTTGCTTGGTTAACCGAGGTAACCGCAACACATATTGCAAACCAGTTTTAACCGAGTAACCGAACCAGACAGCGCCCCTATACAAACATGATCGCTAAAAATTGCCTAAAATTAAACGTTCAACCCTACATTTCTACATCTAAATCACTCCACAAGTCAAGTTTCAATCATTTTTGCATAGAAAATAGATTTAAATCACCAAATTAATGTCTCAAATACTTGAACATAAAGTTATAAACTTCATAAAGTCACAAATTACAAGTCACCACCAAATCATCACTTATCAAGCGAAGAAGAACCAACATCTACATAACCCTTTTCTTTTAGTTGCGGCAAGAGGTCATGACCAACATCGTCATATCCATCTTTCTCATACTCTTCCTCCGACACATTTTTTTCACCCTCCTGCTCATTCCCATCTGGAACGTCTGACTTGCATCTGCATTGGCAACATTGCCAACATCACTTGCACTTTCCATTCTAGACTAGAAAGTGGTATTAATTGAGTAAGAAAAAGGAAAACAAATTGTTAGAATATTCATACATTGAATTAGGTAGAAAGAAATAGTATTTGTTTACTTGAACAAACAATAATTAAAATAGTTTTAGAACTTACCGCTTTTCAAATCCACGATTTCTTCATCATCTTCCCTATCGTCATTATCTCCGGCACCGATAGTTTGATACTTTATCCAATCCTCCGCACAAATCAATGCCTCCAACATGATATCACTCAAAGAAGACCTTAATGGATTGAGAATCCGACCGCCACAGCTGAAGGTTGCCTCTGAGGCAACAGAAGAGATGGGAACAGCTAGGATATCCTTAGCCATCTCAGCAAGAATCGGATATGTTCTAGAGTGTCGAGACCACCAACTCAAGATGTCAAACTTGGCATCATCACTCTCCTCATTGATTCCATCAGTTTGACATCT